GCATAGGTGCACAGCTCTGCACATTCCTGGGTCCTTCTAGATTCCCAGGAAAATTTCTGAGTGATTGAAAGCCTCAAGGTCTTATATTATGTTCCTCAGCATTTCCTTTTGTTCCCCTCAGCTGTTATCCACCATTTCAGTCAGCTGAAGTTAAAATTCTTGCCTGTAATTGTTTTCAACAGACATTCCTTAGTGGTGAAAACAGCCTTGTCAAAAACACCCTTTCAAGTGGTGTCTTCCAGGGAGGGAACCATCACTTAGGTCAAATAATGACACTTCTTTGGGAATTGAGCTTTGAAAGAACTACAACTCCTAATGTTCTCTATAACGGATACCAGGGTACAATGGAAATGTGAGCTAACAAGAAGCTGCAAAGTGAGACTATGTCTTGGGCAGGTTAAAATGTCATGAAGTGTGCTATACTTACTGATATAGTCTTTTTTTTATTGCATAAATGATCCCTGGTTTCCTGTAAACCTTTGGTTCATTTCCAGAGTTCAGAAAAAGTTGATTTTGACAGTTTTGCCAATGATCTTGTTACTTTTTTGGGAAGAAAGCTTTTTTGGAGGTATTTAAGCCATTATTTTCACTAGTGTCTCTTTGTATCAGAACTTTCATGTATAGTTTTTTTGTTTCCCTGGAGTTTCTTGCTACCTTTTTATTTTGTCAAAAACAGCACACTTTTATCATAACCAAAATTATCCAAGCTCTCAACAATACTATATTAAGTGTTGTCTAGAAATTGCTTCCGTCCTCAAGCCCTCTAACCTCTGCCTCTATTCTGGACTGATATTTTCCAGTTTTGCTATACAACTTTCTTCTTGGAACTTCCTTTCACTATACTTCTAGATTAGATTCATTTTAGGGAGGATCACAATTGGATCCCCTTTTTTCCAGTTTTATTGAGACATAATTGACCTACGAAATATTGTATTAGTTTAAGGTGTACAACATAATTATTTGTAATATGTATATATAAATATGAAATGATTACCACAACATATTTGGTTAGCATCTATTTTTTTTTTTTTGTGGGACCCTTGCCGGTGGCCGGGGATTGAACTGGTGCTGCAGAGGCTGCGGGCAGCCTCGCAACCCAGTGCTCAACTGCTGCGCCACCAGGGGAGGCCCTGGCTAGCATCTATTATCTCATGTACGTAAATTTTTTTTCTTGAGATGAGAACTTTTAAGATCTACTCTCTCAGCAGCTTTCATATATACAATACAGTACTGTTAGCTATAGTCTTCATGCCATACATTACAGTTCCAGGACTGACTTATCAGTAGAAGAAGTTTATATCTTTTAACTTCTTTCAATCAAGATCTTCCTTTGAAGTTTTAGTTTTCATTTTCATTTTGTTGTAGTATATCCTCAAATAATTTGCTTCACAAATTATGTGATACAGAGTTCTTGAATGTCTTAAAATTTAGCTATTTTAATCTCCCACTCCTATTATAGTTTGGAGATGTACAGAATTCTGAAAAAAAAAAAAAAAAAAAAAAAAAAAAAAAATGCTTTCCTGAAATCCTGTACTGTCAAAATGTTAACAAGGATGTAAAGCAATGATACTTCTTTTTTTTTTTTTTTTTAAATTTATTTATTTATTTATACAAGAACTGGGGTATAGGCCAGATGTGCGGGAGGGTGAAAGGATTCACTAAAGACAGAGCGGGGAACAGAACAGGCAGACTGAAGAAATACACTGCTGAGGGGAGACGTGGGCACGACAGGAGAGGTCTGCTGTGCCATGTGGGACCCTCGCCGGCCAGCCGACTGGCATTGAGCCAGCATTGCAGAGGCTGCGGACAGCTTCATAGCATGGCGCTCAACCGCCTGCGCCACCAGGGGAGGCCCAATGATACTTTATTAAAAAAAACTTAAAAAACTAAAATTAGTCATTATGTTTATTAAAACACATGCAGAGGTATTTGATATTTTATTTAGTTTTTAATAAAATAATATTCACCCATTATATTTCCTAGATTAAACAAATTTTAACATATTTTCATCTAATCTGTCCCTCTCAAAATAAAACATTATAGATAACCCTAAAAAAGAAATTAAAAATAAAAAAATTTCCCTGAGAAGATTGAAGGCATTGTTCTCTCATCTTTACAAACAGTGTTATGGTCTAGAAATTATTCCATTTAGGATATTTGTGAATAAACTTTTTCTTTCTTTGGAACTTTTAAGACCTTATTTTAAATACACAGTATTAGTAAATGTCATGAGTTTTTTTTAAAGTCATCTTTAATTTATTCTGCTCCAGTCCTCACAGCTTTCAGTTAGAAAGCAATCTTGCTGCTGTCATAGTTTCTGGAATGTCATATTGATTGTATGGACTGGTTTTTGTTTCTATTTTCTTAGACTTTATCTCCTTTTTTTTTTTTTTAAGATTTATTTATTTATGCATACAAGAACTGGGGTAGAGGTGTGGGGGGTGAGAGGATTCACCAGAGACAGAGTGGGGAACAGAATAGGCAGAATGACTGAAATACACTGCTGAGGGGAGCAGCAGGGGAGTCAGGAGAGGTCCGCCACACCATGTGATTACCTCCCTGGCCGGAGATCAAACTCATGAGGCAGTGCCTGCGGACAGCTTCATAGTGCTGTGTCTTAATCCCTTGCGCCACCAGGGAGGCCCCTCTCCTAACCTCTCTATTGAGAGTTTTATTTTGGCTGATGTATTTTAATTCTAAGTGTATTCCCCTCCCGCCCCAATATTTTACTTTGGTTCTATATGGCATCCTTTCGTTTATCTGAAGATAAGTCTGGAATGTTTTAGAAAATCCCGTTCTCCTCTGTAATCTTTGTCTTCTAACCTGTCTTCATGCTGCTGGTTTTTCTCCTTGGATGCAATACTTAGTTCCCTGTCAGTTTTGTTGTTGGGTTTTTTGTTTGTTTCTAAAAAATATATTTCCTCCATTCTTTTGAGTATGTGATGCTGTTGATGGTTTTCTCTATTAATGTGTCTGAAGTCTGCTTCTCTCACCACTGCTGAGATCTGAAGGGTCAGCTGGTCATCCAGTGTGTAGGGTGGGTGTCCTCACTGCCTCAGACTGCTGCTCCCTCCTTGCCCCGCGCCCCCCCACCCCCATTGCTTTATGCCAGATAGTAGGTTCCTAGTCCCTCCTGATGGGGCTTCTACCAGCCCAGCTGTTTCATGGACTGATTCATGGCTGTGGGTTCCCAGATCCTGACCTGTCATTCGTTCCTGCTCTGTACTGTCTGTCCCCATGTGCCTTTTCTTCCATTTCCACAGAGTTGTTGAAAGCTTACCGATTCCCAGCTTTCTACTTCTTCTTTTGTTGTCCTTCTGCTTTGTTCCTGTCAGCTCTGTGAGTCACAGTAGATCAGGAAATGGCCTATCCCAAAGTGACATCTTGCACTAGCTCCTGGAAACACCTCCTGTCTGACTTCCCTCTTGGTTTGGCTCCTCCCCCTGTTGTGCAAGACACTGCAGTGTGAGGTACTTGCCCAGATTTGGAATTATCATGTTATGTAAGACAGACTGGGAGAATATTATTTGTTAAAATGAGCCTGAGGGACTCTCTCAGGTGTCCACCGCACACAAACTTCCAGGCAGGGAAACTTGATTGGGCCAGTAAGTGTCTGGGTCTGTTTGCACTGGACATTGGCATGTTTGCTGGTATTTTGTTGCCTTGGACAGCTGGGGTTGAAATTGGGTTATGCTTTACCTTTGTAGAACTAGCCAAGTAAATAGCCCTCCTAGAAATTGGGTGCAAGTGGAGCTATAGCTCATAGGTAGCCCCTCAGGGTCCACATATGAAACCTGTTGTTAAGTCCCTGGTCACAGAATCTTTGACAGTAGGGCACATGTATGTGTGTATGACCACTTTTCCTGTGTGGTAGCTCTGCCTCAGTCTTTCCTCCCCTCATGTCACAGCTCAGGAGTTCCTCTGTGAAGCCACCTAGTGATGGTAACTTGGGAACACCATCTCTCCTCTACCCATCTTTTATTTATGGATATTTAAAATACAGTTAGGTTACAGAATCAGATTCCATGGGCAAACAACTTCAGTTTGAAAAATGTGTTACTGTGAATGTTTTCTTTTCAGGCATTTAATAAACATTTAATGAGCATTGACTTTACCAAGCAACATGGGAGGGCCATCTCCAAACTGTTTTGACCCCACACACCAGATAGAAAGGCCTAAATTCTCACCTCCAAAGTCTATTACATTAACAATGTAGTATGTAAATACTATTATAAAAAGATTTGTGTATTCTAGAATGCATAGATTTTAGAATTTAAAAAGAAGTGAAACAAAATATAAGCAAAACTTGTTTTCTTTCCTTTTCCAATTACTGATCTGATGAACCTCTTGGGGCACATGTGCTACGGATCCTGCTGGCTAGGGCATATGGCATGAAGGAACAAACTCCTTGGTCCAGTAGCTCCCAGTGCAGCAAGGAGGAAAGTGTCCCAGAGGAAAGCACACAAGCTAAGGCTAGTAAAGCTGACTTCTCAGAGAACAAAGGCAAGACATAAAACTAAGGGAACTGGCTTGGCTCTCCTGGGTAAGACTGAACTGTGGCCATAGGGACAGTGTGGCAAAACATGGCAGGAAGCACCCAAGGCTAACAGTGTATGTGTGCAGTCACTGTGGACAGCAGGATGGGACTGAGGGGGCCACACTCCTTTACTACACTGGCCCTGCCTTTGCTCTGTTGTGGGAATCAATCTTCTTTGGCTGGAAAAGGGATATTGATACAAAGCCAGCAGTTTCCACATAGCACCCTGTGTTACCAATCCCTATGTCAGAACTTTACTTGAAGGAGATAGTAGTGCTGAATGAAGGCTGCTCAAGTTTAAATTGGTTGATACAATTTTCTTGGTTGAGAATGACCCCACTAACAGTTTTGCATCTTGTTGTCCTGCCATGTGTGGTCAGGCCCCTTGGCAACCATAGACCGCTCCTGTTTTGGAACACTCTTGTTGCCACCTTTACAACATGAAATGACTCCTATCTTCCAGGTCTCAGTGGCTCTCAGCAGCAGTTCCATCCGAGTGGCAGTACTGGAGGAAAGTGGGGAGCGTGTCCTCATGGAAGGGAAGTTCACCCACAAGATCAACACTGAGAGTTCTCTTTGGAGCCTGGAGCCTGGAAAGTGTGTCTTGGTAAGTATGGGTCTCTGTGTCTGAGCCCCCAGGGAAGTTCTAAACCCACCTTGATACTGTGGTGACCAGTACACCCACTTTGTACTCAGTAATGAAGTTGTGGGTTCCAGAAGATGGGCAGCTTCCCAGGCAGTTTGTGCACCATTCCCACAAGGGTGCCTTTGTGGGCATTAACTGACTGTCACAGGTGCAGCTATAGTCTTGGCCCCATGAATCCCACCACCTGGTTTATTTGCGGGACTGGTGTCAGCCAGAACTTTGGGACTCTTGAGTGCTGTGGATCCTGCTGGCATATGGCATAAAGGAACAGACTCCTTGGTCCAGTAACTCCCAGTGCAGCAAGTAGGAAAGTGTCCCAGAGGAAAGAACACAAACTAAGGCTAGCAGAGCTGACTTTTTAGAGAACAAAGACAAGACATAAAGCTAGGGACACTCGTCTGGCCACATGTGGTGACCACAGATGAGATCTTGGAATGGAGGGTCATCCTGAGAGTATGATGTGTCCAAGCAGGCTATGTCCTCTTAGTCTCTTAGGAGCCTCTGGTGGTCTGTTACAGTCAAGGCAGAAACTAATAAGTTAAATATTAGGTTTAATTTACCAGGATTAATTTTAGGGATATCAGTGTAGAGGATGCCGGTTAATAAGTTCAGACAGGCATATGGACAATGAAGTGGTTCTCAGTGGACTAGGCACAGTTGAGGGGTTGAACCTCTGTGAATGGTGTACATGCCCTAGTTAGAAAAATCATTCTGTGTGCCAGCTCCCGCCTGTCAGAGCCTTGGCCTCATCAGAAAACAGTGTCTAGTGGAGGCTTCCTATGGCATAGGGGGGCTCGACAGGTTTGGATCAACTTCTTTCTTCTTCCTGCTGGGGTGCTTTCTTCTTCCTGCAGAATGTCTCTGGTTTATAGTTGCCTGTTGATTTTGATTTTTACTTTATATAATTACTCCCTTCCCTCCCATCCCTTATTTGGATCCTCTGCATTCCTCCTGTAAGTGAAACCATCTGATATTTTTCTTTTTCTTTCTGGCTTATTTCACTGAGCATGATCAGTTCCACCTATGTTGCTGCAAATGGCATGAGTTTATCTTTCCTGATTGCTGAGTAATACTCCATTGTGTATATATACCACATCTTCATGATCTAGTCATCTATTTTTTGGGTATTTTAGTTGTTTCCGTAGCTTACCTATTGTTAATAGTGCTGCAATAAACATAGGGGTGCAGGTGTCCTTTTGAATTAATGGTTTTGCATCCTTTGGGTAGATACCAAGGAGTGAAATTGCTGGATCATATGGAAGCTCCATTTTTAGCAGATTGAGGAACCTCCACACAGCTTTCCATAGTGGTTGCACCAGTTTGCATTCCCACCAACAGTGTAGGAGAGTTCCTTTTTCTCCACATCCTCGCCAACATTTGTTGTTGCTAGTTTTTTAAATTTGTGCCATTCTCACTGGTATAAGATGGTGTCTCATTGTGGTTTTGATTTGCATTTCCCTGATTACAAGTGATGTTGAGCATTTTTTCATATGCCTGTTGGCCATTTGCATTTCCTCTTTGGAGAAGTTTCTTTTTAGTTCTTATGCCCATTTTTTGCCTGGGTTATTTACTTTGTTTTTATTGAGTCTCATCAGCTCTTTGCAGATCTTTGTGATCAGTCCCTTATTAGTGTTGTGTGCAAAAATTTTCTCCCAATCAGTAGGGTGTCTCTGTTTTGGTTAATGTCTCTTCTGCTGTGCAGAAGCTCTTTAATTTGATGTAGACCCAGCTGTTTATCTTTTCCTTCACTATCATTGCTTTGGGTGATGTGTCTTTGAAGATGTTACCGAAGTGGATGTCATATAGTGTTTTGCCTGTATTTTCTTCTATATATTTTATGGTTTCAGGTCTTATGGCTAGTTCTTTAATCCATTTTGAGTTGGTTTTCATGTTATCTTTTTTATATTTTGTGCACTTGGTCTGAATGTGGATGTGGCCAGAGCATTAATACCTTATAATATGGCTGCCATTTACTGAACACACAGGGCTGGGATCTGTGAAGCACCTTGGAATGCTTTTTAACTCTTTGTAAGCTCTTTGTGCAGACACTGAGGCCACAGGAGGATAAGTAGCCTGCCCAGGATACAGCCTGACTCCGAGTCCACTCACCTCATTCACTTCCCTTCTTCCTTCCAGCTGAAAGGCTCCCTGAAGAGGGGAGTGAGGAGAGAGGAGAGTGTGGCTGGCATGTGAGAAGCGGCCCCATTGAGTGGATATCTGGAAACAGATGCATGGTTTTCTCTTGCTGGTCTTATTGAGCAGGCCTGTGTGGGTTCTGTGGCTAACTAACCTCCTCTGGTGTGCCCTCACTGCCTTTAGTTTTCTGGTTTGCTTTTGCCAACAGCTTGCTGCTTGAGGATAAGTAGGCAGAACTGACAGCAACCAGAGGTGCACCTGCTTTTGGTTGCCCTAAGTGTGGCTTCCAGATATCCTCCCTGCTTACCCCATCAGGCCTGCACAGAGCCCTCTCAGAGTGCAGGTGCTGCACAAGTTCTTAAAACATTCTCTAGAGTCATTTTGATCATGAGTAGATGGCATTTCATTTCTAACACAGCTTTTCACCACTTGTAAAAGGAAGACGAATTAAAAGCATCCCAGTCCTTTTCTGGAGATTTCCTGTCAGCACAAACCCTGCACAACAAAGCAGAGCTTTTCTTTCCTGACCCAGCCTCTGTTTAGTGAATATATGTGTTACAGAAACATTGCTATTTATGAAACTCAAATTTGGTACGTTCTTGACTTAGTTATTGGTGACATTTCGGAGCAAACTTTTCTTCTGCTCATGTATCTGAGGTGATAGTGTAGTTCAGCGAGCATATTGCTTTGATATACAAAGATAGTGTTTATATTTGCTGTGAGGGACAGGCTCTGCTTCCCTCAAGTCTCTGGTGGTGAGAGCGTGACCACCAGCCTGGCTTTCTACCTCAGCTCACATTCACTGGCCACTTGACTTTAGCCTCCCAGGCTCTCCTTATTGTTCTCAGTTGAGACTGGGAGCTGACTCTCAGACTTACTGTTATGTGCCAGATTCCTGGGTGGTTAAGGAACCAAATCAAGGGCCCATCTTGCAATCTTTGCAGATGTGATTAAGTGAAGGATTTTGAGATGAAGAGATCATCCTGGATTATCCAGGTAGACCTGGAACCTGGTAACAAGTGTCTTTGTTAGAAAAAATGAGGGAGAAATTAGAAGAAACAGGCACATCTTCACTTCAGAATACAGGCAAAGATGGGGGTGGCGTGTTCATAAGCCATGCCCTACAACCTTCAGAGGGAGCATCACCCCATAACACTGATTTCTGGCCTCCACACTGAGAAGACACATTTGTTGTCTGTAGTGCCCAATATGCCATGGTTTGTTGTGGCTGTCCTAGGGTCTCTTGCACAGGCCTCATGTGGCAGGCTCACCATGAGTGCCATAGGAAGAGTGACTCAGGGCCTGTCAGCCTCTCCAGAGTCCTTTATCTGAACCTCTGACCTCCTGACCACCCAACAGACCTGTGCAAAGATGCCACTCGCTTCGTAGCCATCTTCCCTCTTCCTGAACTGTGGATCCACATCTGACATGACCGGGCAGGCTTTCAGAGCAGGCAGGGGTGGCAGCTAAAACCGTGTGACAGTCTCGCCTCCCTCCTTCCCACACTGAGAATGTTAAATGAGGCTCTTGACTGTCAGGCAAGCTCCTGTCTTGGTTACGAATTCGTGAAGTCAGCCGTGGCAACAGCCCCAGTCCCTTCTCCTGTGCCTCCCTCTGTCCCAGAGGTCCCAGTGTCTGCTCATTGTCCTTCAGGTGAGGCCGCTGGCCTCTCACAGCATGTGGTTTATATGAGCCTGTGCTTGTATGTGGCATAGCTGATCCATTTGTTGACATGATACACACACAAGTCGTTAAAATCAGCATGGTAGTTGCTGAGTTCACCTGACCAGTCTGAGCTCACTCCAGTGTGTGACAGGTTTTTGAACCTGTATTTTTGTGAAAATTTTATTTAAATTATTTAGATTATTTCCTTAAGTTAATAGTTCTCAAAAGTGGAGTTGCAGGCTGACTGAAGTTCTGAGTATTTGCTGTGGACTCTCTTGGAAGGATGCTGTCTTTCTGTGGTATCCCTAGATCCCCATGTACCCACCAACACTGGATTTGTTCATCTCAGCTTGACTTTGCTGGTTTATCTCTTTCTTTTGGTTTTCTAGTGAGGATGTGCGCTTCCCCCTGAAGTGGTTCACAGTCTGCATATTCTCACTGGTGAACCATCCCTGTGAGAACATCATTATGCATTACCATCCTTCTTCCTAAATTCAGAGTGGAAGCTACAGGCTAATTGTGCTAGCATTTTGCCAAAAACCTATGCCCTGGGTATTAGTCCTTGGACTGAAATATGAATCCTTCACCTTTTATCCTGAATCTCCAGGCATGGACAGGGTCCTTGCTACAGAAGTCATCTAGTGACTAGAAGGGGTATGCTGAGCAGAGCCAGAGCATGGTGCTCCCAGTAGACAGAGCATTTCTCAGCGCCACTTGGTCATCTCATGCTTGGAGTTTGTGGCTTCTTCTGCCTTCTGAGGAAGAGAGGCCAGTGGGGCTTCCTAGCCGTGTTCACAGCAGGGCATGTCTCACCCATGAGCACTTCAGTTTTTCAGGTTAAAAAAAAGATTCGACAATGTCATTAACCAGGAGACTGCCTAGTACTGCCTCTGGTGGGTCCTAGGAGGTCTGTTGTCTGTTCCAGTGGTTCCATGTCCTCCCTAGAAGTTCCTTCTTCAACCCTCAGCATGCCTCTTTGGCCCCACACTCAATTCCATGAGCAGCTGTAAGGAGCCATTGTCTTTACCAGGCACATTGCCTCCCTGAATAGAAACAAGGTTCTGTGACTAAGGAAGGAAAGACATGTAAATGTTGGTGAGTCATAGCACAGATTGGGGGTGCTGAGGTAAGTTTATTCATGTTGAATTTGAAGTTTGTGT